AATTTAATTATTAATTATTTAATTAAAATTATTTATAATAATTTAATTTCTATTAATTCATATAAATTTTCTTTCTCTATTTTAAAACAGTTATCAGATGTCTATCACCTTGTTTATCTGACACCTATTTTAAAGAATACCATATACACAAAAGGAAATAAAAATTGGGATTTGTGAAGATTTTTCCCTTCAGTGATACTTTTAAAATATTAATTGCAAAATTCTTGATGCCATCTCTATTTTAGAGGCAGGAGCTTTTAACTTGGGCTCAATGATCTCCTAAGGGGAAAAAGTAGAATGTTTTAAAGACAGCTCTGTAACTTCTAACAGATTCTCTCAGGGGTCCATTATCCAGCGGGGGGAAGAAGAAAAGAGAGAGAGAGAGAGGAAGGAAGGAAGGAGGAAGGAAGGAAGGAAGGAAGGAAGGAAGGAAGGAAGGAAGGAAGGAGGAAGGAAGGAAACAGTCACTGTTTAGAACATTTAGATCAAGTCACGTAATAACACACTTGTTTATGTGGAAGGCATTTCTCGTAGCCATTGTGGTGCCGGATGTTGAGACAATATGTTCCTGGGCCCGAAAGAGAGGATTCGAGGGATCTCTTGAGGAGTTGTGCAGAAATAAGGTAAGGTCCTCAAGTGGCCAATCTAAACTTGTGTTACTTCTACCTGTGGATGTGCAGGGACCACCAGCGAAAAAGCATCTCATTTTTCTTACCTTCTTAGGATGTCAAAAAAGCTATCCTGGAAGACATGGTGAGACTTGGGAAGGAATCTGGTCTAAAACCATTTGAACAGGTATGACTTTCATTTAAGTGGATCAGTTTCTGTAAAACAAAGTTTCGATTTAAATTGTGTTACTAGTAGACTATGGAGGAGAATGAGAAGACCTAAAGAAACAGGTGAGCAGGCTAGCTGGTCGCATGATGGCTAAGGCAGCCGGATCTCAGATGTCTGACTGCAGTTTGAGTCTCGGACCCAGAGGCTTGAAAAACACATTTGCACATAGGCAAGGGTTCCCAAAATCCCAGAAGGAGAAATAGAAGAGAAGGGATTGTGGGGTGACCATCCCCCATGTGGGTGCTTTCTCACTCCTGTTACCCCCGCCTTTCTTTTCTCTTTAATTTACTAAAAAGCGCAGATGCCTTCTAGCAAGTTAAAAAGATTAATGAATTAAAATAAGCAATAGATAAGTAATGAATAATGAATGCTTTAAAAGGGAAGTGTTCTTTAACCAAGGATATTAATTCCCTTCTCCTGGAGGTCAGGAAATAATCCTGAATTCTGTTTTAAGAATGGAATACCTGGGGCCAGCAGATGGCATAATGGTTACATCACTGGACTCCCACCTAGTCAACTGCAGTTCAAGCCCTGGACCTGACAACTTAAAACTCACACTGGGCGTGTGTCTGTGCCCAAAATCTCAAGAGGAGAATGGAAGAGAAGGGATTGTGGCATGGCCATCTCCCCTGGGGGGCGATTTCTCACTTTCTCTCTCTCTGACAGCCCACATGCCCTATAGTGAAAATCTCTAAAAAATAAAAATAATACCTTGCCCTTTGTTGAGAAAGGGCAACTTGGCTGAGACAAGCTGGATCTCCTGTATGGTCTTTATCCCTCTGGGGGCAAAGCGCTTTTTAGACCCAGGCTACAGCTATCGTCCTTCCTCCCTTCATAGACTTGTTTCTTGGCAGGTGAAAGGCATTGCTCTGCACCCGGAATTATTTTCCATCGACAATGGCCTTCTGACACCAACAATGAAGGCCAAAAGGCCAGAACTCCGGAACTATTTCAGGTCGCAGATAGATGAACTGTATTCCACCATCAAGGTATAATGTGAGGAAGAACACGCAGAAGACACGGCACACCTCCGCAATCCCTCCTACCGCTGGCCTCGTGTTGGTAACTTTACGACAGCAAGCATAGGGAAGGACACGCTCATGTCCAACTTGTCCATTCGGGGTTCTTGTCCTAGGAATATTAGAGGAAATGGAAAACTGCCTTACCGCCGCCTCGCGTTGCAGGCCACGTTTATGGTGACACACAATTTCCAAAGTGAGCCTTAACCATTGTAAAGGGGAAATTATAGATGTGCTAAGTTATTTGAGACTTCTTCAGTTAAAAAGGTGGGTGTTCAAACTTTCATCTCCCTGTTTTTCTAACCAAGGGGTTAGGACTTTACTCTTTCTGAGATGTCTGCTACTTGCTGCAACTCCTGCAGTCGTCTGCTGCTTTGAGAGGATAGTGCACTGGAGGGACGCTGTCCCTTTCAAAACAAGAACTGTCCCGGCCAGAGAATGTTACAAGCGGACCAGAGTTTTGTTTTGTTTTGTTTTTTTAAAATCCCTACCACCTACCCATCTCACACACACTAGCACAACCCTACGGATGTGTAAGGGTATGAAATTCACGCCCTTCTCCATAATCCCTGTTGATCCTGTTGGAGCAGAGGGTTCGCCAAAGGACACCGCCCCCTCTGGACAGTGCAGAACTGAGTTTCAGAGGAGTGACAGCCTCAGAGCAGGTGGATTCTCACAGCAGGATGCTCTCAGGATCTGTCGTCCGACCTGACTCTCTCCCTCTGTCCATCCCCCTCCCCCTACAGGGGTTATTAAAAATCTGCCTTAGACTCTACAGTGAAGACAAGCATTTCAAGAAAGAATTGCCTGGATCAACCAAGCTCAACTGTGACGCCCAGTAACTCCACTTTATCTTCACTGAACCACTCACTCTGTTCCCAACGGACTTTTAATGTGGGTTTCGTATCAACAGATCATGTTGTGATTAACTTGCTTCTTTTCCCAGAATAATCTCTCAGGCAAAGCATGTCTTTAAAAATAGTAAGGGAGTAGATACACGTGGGTACTTGTTGAAATGGACAGTAATAAGCAAATGTCTCTTATAACGCTACCTGATTTCTATGAGATGTATTTGACAAGCCAAAATTCTAGTGTGTAGGAATCTGGAAAAATCATTCCCTGAGCTTAACATCTCAAGGGATTTTTATAAGTTAATTTGGGAAATTAACAGCATTTTACTTGATTGTAAGTCTTCACCACATTTGAATTGCGTTGTCATTTATACATTTAAAGCAATTGTTTTTGGGTATGTGAGAGTCCATGTATTATACAAGCACAACAGGGTTTGCACTAAAGAACTGTCGTTGTAATAACACTATTTGGTAGCCTAACTTCATATATGTATTCTTAATTGCACAAAAAGTCAATAATTTGTCACATTGGGGTTTTGAATGTTTGCTTTATGTGTTGGCTATTTCTATGTTTTATAAACCAAAACAGAATTTCCAAAAATAATGAAGGAAACCAAAATAAATATTTCTGCATTTCAAGTGAGTGAAGTCACTTTTCATGTCAGGTATAACATGTGGGACAGCCTGGGATGTGCACAGGCAAAGGGCAGGAATGTCCCTCTGCCACCAATCCCTCCCACTCTCAGGTCCCCGCCTCTAACTCAGTCATCCTCTGATACCCACAGGCCCTGGCCCTGGCCTCCTACCAGGCTGTCTCTGGCAGCAGTCCTGAGGTGTGGTGGAGAAGAACGTTACAGTGTGAATACTGGGGATAGTCCTGAAAATTGGACGGCTTTGCTATGTTTCAGGAGACATGGACTGCAGTAGGTGGCTCTGTGGTAGATTGCATGCCACCGTGTTGGTGACTGTCTTCCTGTGGAACTGTTTCAGAACATGGTTCTTAGAGCAGCCAGCTTTTTCTTTTTGCTCTTATCTCTACCCTACTCCCTGGGTTATCCGTTTAGAGACTTTCTTTCTATATGTCTAAATTCACCATTTCTTTATATTTTTTCCAAGCCCATTATGTTTAAATCTGTCTCCCTTAAGATTTTTTTTTTTAAGATGCGCTTATTCACTAGATCAGTAGATGGTATGGTGGTTAAGGTGCTGGATCCCATGTGGCCGACTCCATGGTTCGAGGCCCAGACTTGGTGGCCTAAGGAATACGTTGGGCACATGTGTGTGCATGCGTGCCCCAAATCCTGAGAGGAGAATGGAGGAGAGGGGGTTACAACATGGCCATACCCTTGGGGGGAGAGAAAGTTCTCACTTGCCCTCTCTCTCTCTGTTTCTCTCTGACAAGCACATGTGCCTTATAGGAAGAAAAAAAAAGGAAAAGAATGAAAAAAATTGCTTATTCATTTATTTATTCCACGAGGGACATGGCATTAAGTACAATGGTGTGCTGTTGTCATTACCATCCATACACTGTCACACCCTGTGCCCGACAGCCACCATTCTACTTCGTGTCTGTAGGAATTTGACTACTCTAAGCTCCACACCCGAGTGGGACTATACAGTGTCTGTCCTTTCGGGACTCCTTAGCACCGTGTCCTTGGGTCCATTCATGCTGTAGCACGCGTCAGAATTTCCTTCCTTTGTAAGACCCAGTAAAACTTTGATTATTATCCGTTCACTCACCGATAGCCACTTGAGTTGTTCCCACCTTTTGACTAGCGTGAATAATGCTGCTGTAAACACTGGAGTATGGTTGGAGTCCCCGCTTGCTTTGTGTATGTGCCCAGAAGTGGATTATATGGTAAGTCTATGTTTGGCTGTTTTGAGGAACCACCATACTGTTTTCCACAGATTGCACCGTGTGACATGTCACCAGCACTGCGCCAGGGTTCCAGTTCCTCCACTTACTCGCAGACACTTGCTGCTGTTTTCTGATAATAGCCTTCCTAAGAGCGTGACGTGGCACTTCAGTGTGGGTTTGATTTGCATTTTCTTGATGATTAGTGACAGTGAGGATCTTTTCATGTGCCTATTGGCCATGTGTATATCCTCTTTGGAGAAAGAACCTTTTGCCCATGTTTTACATTGAGTTTTTGAGGGCAAGCGGTGGTTAAGGTGCTGGATCTCACACGGCCAACTTTGCGGTTCGAGTCCCAGATCCAGTGGCTTGAAAAACACTCTAGGCACATGCACATGTGAGCCAAAAATCCAGAGAGAAGAATAGAAGAGAAGGTATTATGGCATGGCCGTCCTCTGACGGAGGGTGACTTCTCACTTTCCTTCTCTCTGTCTTCTCTGTTGTTCTCGGATAAGCACACACACCCTATGGCAAAAATCTAAAAAAAGAAAAAATGAATTTTGGGGAGCTTGATGTTATTGAGCTGTAAGAGTTCTTCACTCTGGATATCAATCCTGACAGTTTCTAAGTCTCAACTTTGCTGATGCTCTGAGGTCAAAGCCTCAACAGCCCTAGAAATCCAGTAATGCTTCTCCCCACTATTTGAAAGGGCGCCTGCAAACCCATAGTCTGTCAAACCCTTCTCTCCAGGCAGAACAGAAAAGAAGAAATGTGACTGAGTGGAAAGTGGTTGCCCGAGTGTGAGGCAGCGCTTTCTTGTATCAGGCCTCCTGCATGTTCAACTTCTAGTAACTTCCAGAAAAGCCAACGCCTCCCAGAAGAGCCTGAGCTAGGAAGCCCAAGTGTGGTCAAGTGAATGTGAAAATAGAAGCCCCACAGACCCCCATGTGTAGCTCAGCCCTTCTGCAAGCTTCAGCTAGAGCATACCCTGATTTTGTATCTGAACTCTCAAAAGCAATTTGGTTTGATCTTTTTGCCTTTTGTGGGTTTTTCCCCCTTTTCTTTTTTTCTCCTATTGCTAGAAGGTACATGTGCTTGTCAGAGAAAGACACAGAGGAAGAGGAGAAAGCATCCCCCAATGGGGCGTGGTCATGCTGCAGTTCCTTCTGCCCCATTTCTGCATCCTGTCAGGATCCTGGGCACCCAGGCATGTCTGCTCATGTGTTCTTTACACCACCAAGTCTGGGATTCAAACTATAGTCAGCCCTGTGGGACCCAGCTCCCTTAACCACTAGGCTGGGAGGCCAGCCCTAGAAATTTGTTTTTAACTATTGTCCTAATCTAGTGTCCATTGCTAATAATAGAACGTACCTCAGACTGGGTGATTTATAAAAATAGAGATTTATTCACTGCACAGTTTTGAGGTCCAAGGGACAGAGGCCACATCTAGCGGGGACGCTGCAGTGCCCTGAGGCATTATATCTTGTCATGAGGCGAAGAGCAGAGTGTCTTTGTCCATCAGTCTGTCTGTCTTGGTCTCCCTGCTTTTAAACTCACCAGAATAGAGGAAATAGAACAAAGACTCTGGAAAGAGAAGCTCAAGATATTCAAGTAACTGAGACCAGCAGTTGGCGTAATGGCTATGTCGCTGGACTCCCACGTAGTCAACCGCAGTTTGTGTCCTGGACCTGCTGGCTTAAACTCATACCTGGCGCATGTGTGTGCGTGCCCAAGATCCTGAGAGGAGAATGGAGGAGAAGGGATTGTGGCATGGCCATCACCCCTGGGGCGGGGGGGTGATTTCTCACTTTCCGTCTCTCTGTCTCTTTCTGTCTTTCTGGTGAGTGCATGTGCCCTATAGCTATAACCACTCAAAAAAAAAAAGATATTCAAGAAACTGAAAGGAGCCCCACGGTAACTAGAGCACTGTAACCAAAAGAGTGGGCGTGGAAGCATTTGGCGAGGTAGGACAGGATAACCAGGGCTTGTCCCTCTAGAAGGAATTTCCATTGCAACAGGAGAGGAGGTGAAAAATGAGGGCTTGTAGGTGTTAGGCCAGGAGCGACATTCCATGAATGACTGTTTTCGAAGGTGATTCCTGGCTATTCTGGAAACTTCTGCAGAGGGAACATAACAGTAGATGCGTAGCAACCAGGTAAGGACAGTACAGCAGCCTTCCCTGTCCACAGGGGATCCATCCCAAGACCTCCCATCGATGCCTGAAACTGAGGATGGTACCAAGCACTGTTGATGTCAAGTCTTTTAAAAGTTCACAGAAATCCATATTATGAAAAAACTATGCATGAATTTCAGAATATTTTGCACCAAAATAAACTTGTACTTTTTTTTTCTTTACAACGTAGTGTTTATTTTATGTTAGGGCAGGTACACTTGAATTTCAAAAAGTTTAAACATATCAAAAGTAGTTAGGGACTGGCATTTGTGTCAACAGGTGATAAGTGTCTAAGATTTTTTTTATATTATACAGCGGGCACAATGGTAGTGCTAATACCAAGAGGCCCCCTGGAAGTTCGTCTGAAACTTATCCCTAGGCTTTGCACGAGCAACAGCACATGCTGGGACACAATCTGCTTCTGATGCTATGCAGTCCCTTCAACGTGTTTTATTACGGTACACAGTGTTAACAGTATTTAGTTTGGCCCATGTTTTAAAATAAAGTAGCAATGTATTCATAGCATCACAGAAATGCACATCCGATTTTAATAATCTTGTACTTTAATTCCACTTTTTCACACACTTTTCGAAGCCCCGCTATACTGTGCTCTTCCCAATGCATGCATGTGCGTGATAAAGGGCAGCCGATAAATTAGGCGCAGTAATAGATTAACAACGGTAACTAATAGTTAAATAGAACCACCATAACAATACGCAGTGGCCCAAGTTAGGTGAACGTGGTCTCTCAGCATTTTTTTCTCCTACGCTCACCTGGGTTCAGACTGCAACTGACTTCCTGTAGTTGAAACTGGAGATGTTGAAGCCACAGAAAGGGAGGAGACTACGTGTGCATGCATGCACGTGTGTGTGTGTGTATACATGCATGTATATGTATAGCACATGGCAGTTTGAACCAAGCTGGTGGCAGCGGAGATAGAAGGAGTGAGTTCAGGGGACCAGCAGATGGCATAATGGTTATATCGCTGGACTCCCATATAGTCAACTGCAGTTCGAATCCTAGACTTGGTGGTTTAAAATTCACACTGGGTATGTGTGCGTGCATGCCCAAGATCTTGAGAGGAGAATGGAGAAGAAGGGATTGTGGCATGGCCATCCTCCATGGGGGGAGAGAGTGATTTCTTGTTTTTTGTTTTTGTTTTGTCTGTCTCTCTGTCTCTGGTCAATGCACATGCCCTATAGCAAAAATCTCTCTCTGAGAAAAAAAATTTTAAATTAAAAAAAGGAGTGAATTCAATTGTGACTGGGAGGTGGACCCACTGCATGTGGGGAATCGGAGAGCGTTTTGGCAGGTGAGCACAGGTGGGCAGATGGTGGAGTGTACTTACTGAGATGGGGAGACTGGGGGGCTCAGAGATTCATGGAACCGGACAGACAGCTGTCATGCAGAGTGCTGATGGACACCCGAGTGAAGAGACGAGTCTGCGGCTCAGAAGTCGGGGCGAGCTGGGGTGTTCTGCAGAGTCAGCACAGAGAAGCTGTTCCCGGCTGGGGACTGTACCAGGTAACCCGGGGAAGACAGTGCCAGGGAGCAGGGAGTGCCCCAAACAGCGCTGGGGCTCTTTAAATGGGAGTTCAAAAAGGAGCTGGT